CCAGTGACAGACCTGGAAGGTATATAAATAGAAATGTCGCCACCGGAAAAGGGCGGACACCACCATTGACAGACCTAAGAGACAAACGCATAGAAATGCTACATGGCCAACGCCAAGGGCGGACAAATCTGGTGGACAAATGAATAGAATTGCTATATGGCCAGCAGCAAAGGGCGCACACCACCAGTGACAGACCTGGGAAACAAATGAATAGAAATACTACATGGTCAACGGAAAAGGGCGATACTAGCGGAGACAAATTCAGAGAAATGCTGCGTCGCCAGCGCAAAAATGGCCAGCGGAAAAGGGCGGACACCATCATTGACAGACCTGGAAAATAAATGAATAGAAATGCTACAATAAATGAATAGAAATGCTACACCATTGACAGACCTGGGAGACAAATAAATAGAAATGTTGCATGGCTAGGGGAAAAGGGCGGACACCAGGTGTGACAGACCTTGGAAACAAATGAATAGAAATGTTGCATCGCCAGCGGAAAAGGGCGACACCAACAATGACAGACCTGGGAAACCAATGAATAGAAATGCTACATGGCCAGCGGAAAAAGGGCGGACACCAGCAGTGACAAACCTGGGGGGCAAATGAATAGAAAAGAAATGTTGCTACATGGCCAGCGGAAATGGACGGACACCAGCAGCGATATACAGGGCGGACACATCTTAAGAAAGAATTGAGATTCCCTGACAGCTACCCGTTTGGGGAATGAATAGAAATGCTGCGTGGCCAGCGGAAAGGGCGGACACCAGCATTGCATGCACCGAACCTGGGAGACATAAGTACAGAAACCAACGAGACAAAAGTAGTGACAGACATGGGAGACAAATGATCAGAAATGCTCCATGGCCAACGCAAAAGGGCGGACACCAGCAGTGACAAACCTGGGAGAGAAATGAATAGAAATGGTGCATCGCCAGCGGAAAAGGGCGGACATCAATAGTGACAGACCTGGAAAACAAATGATCAGAAATTCTACATGGCCATCGGAAAAGGACAGACAGATCTGATAGACAAATGAATAGCAATATTATATGGCCAGCAGAAAAGGGCGCACACCACCAGTGACAGACCTGGGAGATAAATGAATAGAAATGCTACATGGCCAACGGAAAAAGGCGGACACTAGCAGTGACAGAGCTGGGAAACAAATGAAGAGAAATATTGCATCGCCAACGGAAAATGGCCAGCGGAAAAGGGCGGTTGTCAGAATTGACAGACTTAGAAAATATATGAATAGAAATGCTGCACCATTGACAGACCTGGAAAAAATGCTGCATGGCCAGCGGAAAAGGGCGGACACCAGGAGTGATAGATCTTGGAAACAAATGAACAGAAATGTTGCGTCGCCAGCGGAAAAGGGCGGACACCAATAATGACAGATCTGGGAGATAAATCATTGGAATTTTTGCATGACCAGCGGAAAAAGGGCGGACATCAGCAATGACAGACCTGGGAGACAAACGAATAGAAATGCTACATGGCCAGCGGAAATGGGCGGTTACCACTAATGACAGATCTGGGAGACAAATGAATAGAATTGCTGTATGGCCAGCGGACAAGGGCGGACACCAGCGGCGACACAAAGGGCGGACACATCTTGAGAAAGAATTGAGAACCCCTAACAGTAAACTATTCGGGGAAAACACAGCACGCAGGATATTTCGAACTACTGACCTATTTCCTTGTTGACATGTGCCTATAAACTATTTACTTCTATCCTCCAATCCAGATTCGCTGAAATTATGGATCCTTTTCTCGCTCAAGCACAATATGGATTGAGACGCGCGTATTCCACTCTATAACCCTTGTATATTGCCAGGCGAATCCAAAATGCCGCAGAATAGAATGGAAATAATTTGTTATTAGATTTCTTAGATTATCAAAAGGCCTTTGACAAAATCAACCATAACCGCATATTTAAAGTTTTAAATAGAATGAACATTCCACCGAAAATGCTCTGGGTTCTTCATTTTTTACAATCATCCCCATGTTCCAAGTTAAATTCGATAAATTCCAATCTCGAATCTATGAGCAGCAAGAAGGCATTCGGCAGGGCTGTCCCCTTAGCCCGTATCTATTCGTCATTGTCATATCGATTATGTTCTCGGATATTCGATCTGAACACCACGGGTCTCTCAATCATGTATAATTGGATTATATATATCGTATATGGAAATTCTTTATATTAATGATACGCTTTTGATTACTAAAAATATTCGCGCAATGAACCTTTTGTTACATGCTATTGAAGACGAATCTCAATATTACGATCTTTCATTCAACAAATCCAAATGCGCAATTATCTCCACGAGCGGAAGGCATGATGTCAGGTTTACGGACGGAACCCGTATGCCACATGAAGATCATGTCTCATACCTCGGGGGGCTCCTCACACGACATGTAGATAAGCGAGCTGAAATTGAAAGCAGGATGTCTGCAATTATGGCCGTGTGGAAACGTATGTACATATTTTTCAAAAACCCAAATTGTCCTGTCAGGTGGAAGCTTATTGTCTACAATAGCATGATCCGTTCAAAGATTTTATATCGATTTGAAACGGTGGAATTGACGCAATCTGTACTTTCTAGATTCGAAAATTTTCAATTTCGCGGCCTTCGAAAGATCTTGAAAATGCACACCACGTTCATCGACCGTAGAAATACGAACAGCCGCTGCATCCAGAGATAACCCCTCTCCCAAGTTAATTTGGTGCATCGAAAAGTGTTTACATGAAAAAAAAAAAAGGGTTAAACTAATTGGACACATTTTGAGAATCAACAATCGCGACCCCGTGATACAGGTAAGATTTCGTAGGGACAGCGTTGTTCCATATACGCCTCTCTTCAGAAGGGCGGGACGACCCAGGGTGACCTCTTTAGATCTTTGCTGGAAGAAAAAGGACGAAATTATTTACATCAATACCCCGGAACAACAATGCAAATTTTTGCAAGATACCAAAAATCGATTATTTTTAGCCTTGTTCTTCGCACTTTGTGCGTGACCTTCGTTATTACTCGTATTTGAAATTTATATATCTAAGGATTCTCCCATTGATGTTTCTCGGCATCCATTTCTTTTATTCATTTTTATTGCCTGGCCGTCTTTATTCATTTCATCGTCAATTTGTTAAATCAATCTAGTAGATTTCTTTTCCGATATCGGAAATGCCAAAGGATCATAAATCATAATATATCTGTTTCTTCCTTCAAATCTTCCTCGTACCTTAATTTAAACAAAATAAATAACAATATGGGTATTACTACCATCATTATTTTTATTAATAATAATATTATTACTAAAAATATTAATAATAATAATGATTTTTTTATATAGTCTCTTACTATTATCATTATTATCTTCATTATCATTATAGTTATTATCAATACGATTATTGCTATTATTATATTATTAATATTATTGTTATTTAAATCATAATATTATTATTATTATTATTCTATTATTACTACTACTCTTACTACTGCGACTACCACTACCACTACCATTACCGTTATCACTACTACTACTATTACTACTACTACCACTACCACTACTACTACTACTATTACTACTACTACTACTACTACCACTACGACCACGACTACGACTACTACTACGACTACTACTACTACTACTACGACTACCACTACCACTAGCACTACCACTACCACTACCGCTACCATTACCACTACGACTACAACTACTACTACTACCACCACCACCACCACCACCACTACTACTACCACTACCACTACCACTACCACTACGACTACGACTACGACTACGACTACCACTACCACTACGACTACGACTACGACTACGACTACAACAACAACAACAACAACTACTACTACTACTACTACTACTACCGCTACCACTACGACCACTACTACACTACTCCTATGCCCCCTACTATAGTAGAATGGATCCCCAATAGTACCTCAGATCTTGTTGATTTTGTTGACCTTCCAGGTAAGCACGTAGGGGAGGGGTCTATCAGCTCAATCTTCATTCACAATACCAACAACACCCACGCTCCCAAGCGCACACAGCAGCGGCACCAGCACCCAGGCTCGAAAGCGTACACATGCAATTCTTACTATATTTAAAGTAAGAATCCCAATAGCTCACGCTATCTAGGGAAATAGCAGGAATTCTCAAGGTACCAAGGCACCAGGACAGGGGCGCGCCAGTGAACGAACTGATTGAGCCGCTCAGGCCGCTAGAGCAAAATCAGCCGCAAGAATCAATGTTTTCAACAACAACCGGAAGCTTTCAATTGAGGGAACGTGTTCTTTGCAAGTTGCAAGCCGGCTTACCAAGGCCGACATCAACAAGATTTTGTAAGCATAGAATGGAGCAAATCAAATTCTCATATATATATATATATGACCAAATTCCTTTGTTCTATTAATATGTTTTTAAAATTCAATATTTAAATAAAAAGACAAAATCAATTAAATAATTTCAATAATATGCCCAACATTCATAAAATTTCAATAATCTATCAAAAAAAAAAACATGTTTTTGCATAAAAAAAATGCACATTGCAAAATATCAAAATGCTTAACATTTTCCCGGAAAATTAAAAAATAAAAATCATTCAATTGAAAAATATATCGTCCTAATAATTACGTAATAATATTTTAAAAAACTCATATGTTTATTTCAAAAATACAAGCATATAAATTGTGCGTTCTTAATGCGACTAAAATTATAATCACCTTTAGTGCATACAACCGCGAAAATCGAAATAATATTAAAATTATAATTGTATATATTATAATATGTATATATCATCTATAAAATATATTATCCCGGCATAATATAATATATTCCAATATATATATATATCCATATATACACATATTAAATCAAATCCTCCAAATATATAAATATATCCTATATGCAATTTGAATCTCAAATGAATAATTTATATATATATATATTCGGATATTCAATAATATTAAATATTCGATTATTTATGAATCACTATCGGAATCGGAGGAGTCGTCTTCACTCTTCGCTTCCTTCTTGGCCTTTTTGGGTTCTTCCTTGACCTTGCTGACATCTCCCTTGCGTTTAGCTTCTTTCTTGACCTTCTTTGCTTCCTTCTTCAACTTCTTTGCCTCTTTCTTCATGCGCTTCAACTCCTTCTTGTCTTTCTTGAGCTTCTTCAGTCTCTTCCGTTCTTTGTCAACCTCCTTCATATCTTGGAGGTTCTCTTCGAAGGACCTGGCCCAAGCTTCATCCTCATCCTCAGGCGCCTCTTTGGCTTTCTTGTCTTCCCAGTAGTTCTTTCGAGCTTCCATGGCTGCAACAATCTTCTTCTGACTTTCCAATACATTGTAAACTTGGTAACCTTGACCCTCTGCGCCTGAAGCTTTGTATTCTAAGAGCTTTGGATCTCCATTCTCATCCAAATCATTCTCATCAAATTGCTTGGGAGCCTTAAACTTCTCCACATGATCCACTCGCAAGGTCCTCTTCAGCAGTTGATACCCGTTCATGTTATCCACTGCCAGCACCGTGCTGCGTTGGTCGTCGAAGCACACGAACGCGAAGCCCTTGGACTTCCCCGTCGATCGGTCCCGGACCAGGTGACAATCCACGACCTCTCCAAACTGCGAAAAGACGATGACCACGTCACCTGGCGTCGCTCGTTGGCGGGTGCGGGACCGGGTCGTTCCGAGGGTGAAGTCACCACGTCGACCATCCGAAACCGATTTAGAAAGAAGGGTAAACCCTCAGTATGAGCATTACAGTACTTCATGACCGAGTGGAAAGCCTTGCAGTATTTGTTCAGTGCTACGGTACTTGACTCGTTGGTTTCCGTCCGACCAAACGAGCACCGGGCCTTCGGTCAAACCTTCATGCAAGCCTCCAATGTAGACATAGGCAGAATCCTTGTACTGGTGGTGCCACGATCTGGCCCCTTCAAGCCCTTCTTTCAGCTCTTTTCGCGCAATCTGTCGCTGAGCAGTGACGTTGTACATGGCTAGGGCTAGGACATGGGGCAAATCACAAGCATCGTTGGCTGAAACACTGCAAAGATCGCTGGGTAAATATTGTGAAAGCTGTCAATGATCTTGTTCAATTCATCTTGGCTCCTCTTGCAAAGCAGTTGCAGCATGTTATAACTGATGTGACAGCATGCTAAAGCTAGGAGAGCTGCCTTCATCCTTTGTATGTTTGCGAATGAATCTTCCACATCATTGATCTCATTCTCCAGTCTTTGCTCCTTAAGCCAAACAACAAGAAGTGGACGTTTCGCTGGAGCCTTCTGTCTGTCCGAAGTCGCTGTGCGCCGTTCATCCGCTCCCTTTTTGGCCCTGTACTTGAAACAAATTCTCCTATAGCAATGGCACCACCCTACTAGTCATGGCCTCCAACCTAAGAGCGATGGCCTCCAACCTAAGAGCGATGGCCTCCAACCTAAGAGCGATGGCCTCCAACCTAAGAGCGATGGCCTCCAACCTATATAATAGTCTGGTTTGCCGGTCATTTTTTGATGAGTCAAATATGTTGCATCCTACATCTGCAGATCAGGTGAAACCACCGATGGGCACTCCTCGATTTGAGGGTGTCGGTGCAGAAGCGTGTTCGCCAGCATGTCTTTTTTCAGGCGAACATGTCGAGTGGTTTGAACATGTCGGTTCCAACTGAAGTGGCTGAAGCAAAAGAGCGACAAGAGCTTTAAGTAGCAGCAAATCCTGTGTTCACTGGATTTACTCCAACATTTGGTGCGGCACTTGGATGTCATGCTCAGAAACATGTTGACATGCAATCTCACTTGCTTTGGTCGCACCAGGGGACTTGGCTGCCTGCAGAGAAGAATCCACACAAAACATGACATCCATGTGACATGTCTCCAAGAACAGCAATACCAAAACTTGCAACCATATGTACAGTGCAGTATATATATAGTTATTTGTATATATATATGTATATATATATATATGTGAGTAGATATGTTTGTCTTTAGAGAGTGTCCTTCCTGCTCACATTCGCAAATGAACCCAGGAGTCTTATGAGTCTTATGTCAATGTCCGGAAACAATGCTTTTTTTTCCATCTCTTTTCATGAAACTCGCTTCCAGGATTGGCCAAGGGATGCTCGCCCTTTCCGTCAAGGACGGCCACCGTTCCACCGTTCCGTTCCTCCCGTTCAACTCACTCCGTCCGGCCGGACCCGGCTCGTTCGGTCGAAACCCCGGTGCGGCGCGTTTGGGCACCTTTGTAGACCAAGCAACTGTCGAAGGAGGACTGCTGACCGCCTCCTCCCATCTGGTCGGAATCGGAAAACACACCGTGTTGGAACAAACCGGGTCAGAGGTGAAGATGTGAGAGCTTCATACAGGTCATACAGTAGCACCTCCAAAAAGAAGGATCGTTCGATGCCAAAATGAAGATGTCGAACAACAAAGCGCTTCGAGCTGCTCGACATGCTTCGAGCCGCCGCTCGGAGGTTTGCCGATTGTTGCCCGCTTGAGGTTTGGTGGGGAGATGGGTTTCAGGACGGGTTTTCTTGGCTCCTAAAAGCACCCACATGCTTCGCTAGAAGGAATGTTTTGTGGATGTTGCGGTGTCTCTTGCTGTTGAACTGGAGAGAAAACCCGAGAAGATGGTATTCCTTCTTTTTGAGTGGGCGTTTTGAGAAGTCCAAATCATTGAATGCTGGCTGGGCAGTGTAAAACGGGCGCGACAGGTGCTGGTCTAAATATATAATTCTCCGACACCTGTGAGTGCCTCTTCAAAGCAGAAAGAAACCGAATATGAAAATGTAGCTCCGTTGGCTCCTAAGGGATCCTACGAGATCCTTTATGTTAAATCTAAGACTCAGGAGCCCAACTCTTTGGTTCACCAAAGAGCTGGTTTTCGCCGCACAGCTCCTCGTCCAGCCATCCAAACTTCTCTCCCTGGCTGTGGCTCGGCCACCACTCTCCCACCAGCGCCGATGCTACTATTTGACCTCGGGAAGACGCTCCGAAACCAGGGTCACACCAGAAAGCTAGAACCATCAGTGTGATACTCCGCCGATGGTGGAATCACCAAGAAAATCACCTGTGCTAGTTGGATACCGCGCGGTCTTGATGGTAACAAGCCAGGTAAAACCAGCGAACCCAATCGAACGAAGTGTTGTGTGGAGAAAATCCCAAGTGCACTTCAAAAGCACGTGTAAAACACTTATAAAGCACGACCACTGTAAATAGTTGCCTGAAACGTCTCCAGGTCCTGTGAGTCATGATCAGCATGCCATCTTGTGTTTTAGCTATGATAGTTTCTGTGTGAAGTGCTTGGAGGGCCACCGGGACTTTCGTGCATGCTTTCGCATGTTTTGGCTACTGCTCCGTTTACATCTCGCGTTTCGTGTCTGTTTACATGATGCTTTGGCGGGATGGGTGGGGTGCGGGTTGTGGCCAAGATGTTGTCAGAAAGACCTGACACCTCAAGTCCTGCTTGAAGAGCTGGCGAAGGCGTGTGCGATCCGATGAAAATGGAGCGAAACTTAAAAACTAAAAAAAAGGTATCAGTGATTTTGGAGGCAGGCCGTCTGCATGTCAACTTCTATTCTGATTGACATGTTGATGCTCTTGTCGCCCATGAAGTCTTCAAGACGTTGTATCCAAATAGTTATAGTTATAGTTATAGTCTATAGTTACATTATATATATAGTATATATTGCTGCATTGCTTATTAGTTTGTTGTATTAATATTGAGCAAATGACTTCAAGCAATGACAAACATCCATGCAGCGACATGTCCTCCTCTGCAAGCGAGTGACGTCAAATACCTTAGTTCTTCATTTCAGCAGGCTGGCAGCAGGCTGGGTCAGCAGCTCTGAATCACTGTGAATGACAATGAAAACCCTAAAAAGCTTTGGGTGTCCGACACGTGCTCGCTTTTTAACTCGACGTCGATTGCGCTCTCTTTCTCACCCTGAAAAGTCAAAAGTATAATTAAACGTACAAAGTAGCCGTTCTACCATGTTCCACCTCCCATACCTCCCTCAACCCTCAACCACAGTATACTTCGCACTACACCTGGTCAAAACCACCCGGTCATGTATGTCACCCTTGGTGCCCAAGGCTCATCAGGTTTGGCGTCCGCAGCTGGCGGTAGTAGCCGCTAGGTGGCGCGGTCAGCACCGACGAGGCAATCGAAGAGCCCGCCACAGAGGGGGCACTCCTGGTGTCCGACGATCGCGTCGGTTCTGGCCGCTATCCGAAGAAGAGAGGGACATGGGAGCACACAGCGGTGTCACAATGTGTCATAATAGCATAGATATGAGACGAGTCATGTGAGAGGGCAAACCATCGGCATTGAACATATGGAACCTCTTTCTCCGCCAGGAAGATATTCAGATGTTCTAGCCTGAAGAGTCCTACCCTCTTCACTCTTTCAGCAAACATGACAACGGTCCATGCGCCGTTTTAGCATCCACAAGGATGTTTAGCTGTTGCACTCAGCCTCCAACTTCGCTCTACGTCTACTCAGACTCGCTTTCTCTTCTTCGCCACGGGCGCGCTCTCCTCCTGCTTCCCTGAGACCGTCTACTGGCCTCCGACTGCCTCGACCGCATCCGACCGGCGTCTCCAAAAACCACAAAAAGAACCCAAGACCGTCCCTCGCTGCGTCGTCGCCGAACACTTCATCTCGCTTTTGGGGTCCAGAAAGCATCCGAACTCGTTTTGGTGGCCGAGTTCGTTTTGGTGTCGTTTTTCGGCCTGCGGATCACCTGCGGAGCACCTGCATGGATCTCTGTGTCCGTCGTTTGGTTGTCCCGTTTGTGGCGCCTGGAGCGCGTGGATTGGTTGCTCGGTGTCCGAAGCGTGCGAGCATACGGATCGTCCTCATGAGGTATCTCACGATTCGGATACCTGGAAAAGCGAGAAGACAAGTCATAGAAACAAGTCAAAACGGAGTCAACCACATTCAAAACACCTCGTCTTAGCCCCCTTTGGCCATCTCTTTCGCTTCTCTTGTGAAACCAAAAACACTTCAACTAGGCCCTTCGCACCTTTTCAGGAGCTCGGGGTGAGGCTTCTTGGTCCCGGCCAGGACGTCCTGATAGCTGAAAACAGGGAAGGACAGCCCTCTGATCCCAATCTGGGTGTTGCCAAACTTGCCCCAAAAAATGAAAATCGCTTCTTTGTGGGTCAAAACGAAACATCTTTGCTTGACGTCGCAAGATGTTCATTCTGTTTGTCAACAAACTCATACAAAAACTGGGGTCTGATACCCAGCTACCATTTAAAGACTGTCCCCAAAGCTTCCAGCAACATCCTTGGAAAGCGCGAAAACTTCTGAGTCATGAGGGTGACAAAACTGATTGCCCAGATCTGATACCTTGACTGAGCGAAACTGGAATCAAACAGCACAAACCGCCGCCCACGACGAATGAGGCGGAGACGACGCATGAGCCGCGAACGAGGCACGCGGTCCTTGTCGAAAATGCTCTTGATCATCTGCCGCTCGAAACCTCAAAGGCCAAAAAGCGAACGAGGCCCACTGCGTCGATTGGTGAAAGCCAGACCGGGTCGCCAATCGTTGGTGTCATGATCTGTCATGTCACATGAAATGGGTCGGTCGTGGTGGTCGTAGCGACTGGTCGTGGCCGCGACCGTGACCATCTAGGCGTCCCAAACGCGGGAAGTCATTGGCGGCCTGCGCATACGCAGCTTCAAAGGCAGAAAGCCCTGCAATAGGCCTAGGACAGCAGCTGTGCACTGGAAACCAGAGTGGGTTTGGGCAGATTTGCATGGGTATGTGATAGACTCCATCTATTTGGACTCTCGGGGAAGTTTGAAACAACTGGTTTGGAAAACTAAGTATTTACTAAGCATCAAAACCCTTCACAAATACTCTGTTTACATGTCCATGCATGTTTATTAGAATGATACCCTTCAGGTGACTTGATAGAAAGCTAGAAAGCCTGTATCGAATTAGATGGCAGCGGAATTGCAAACTCAACATGTAGGGCTGGGGCATCTTTGTTAAGTTGCAGATTAAGATCATTATATACATAAATACATATATACATGATACAATCTACATGTATTGTTTTGTTCAAAGCCTTGCCTTTCAATGTCACAGTGTGACAGTTGAGTTGGCCTCAAATGCAGAAGCTTTCTCCAAGGTGCTGCGTTTCGGCCGCGCTCCGTCGGGCATGGTCATGATAACCAATGCCATAGGACCTGGTGGTGTGGTTGGAAGATCTCACCACATTCAACGAAGGTGCTGAGCAATCTTCAGTCGCTTTCCCTATCGCACTTTTCCCCTATCGCTCGACCTGCTCGACCGATAAAAGCAACAGGAATCAGTGTGACCAGAAAAGCCACGGAAATCCGTTGTTTGGGGGTGAGGACATCCTTTGGTTTTTGGTGTTCCAGTTCCAGTCGCGAGTTTGCAGAGGCGCACAGCTAAGTCGCTAAGCTTTGGACTGGTTGGCTGTGCCCCATTCGGGCACTGCTTCCATTTCAACCCCTGAGCCTACGATTCTTGGCTGACTCTGGGCCAAACAGCAAAGTGTCCAAGGTCTCAAGAAAAGCATGGCCAGCGGTCTCGATGTGAAAAGCAAAAAAAATGTCGCACAGCGTTGAACATGGTTTTGTTTGATTTTCCTTGTGTGCTGTGTGTGTGTGTAAGTAATGTAATGTGATGTAATCTAATGCAATGTAATGTAATGTTATGTTATGTATGTAATGTAACGTAATGTAATGACAGGTAATGTCATGTAATGATATGGTATGGTATGTGTATATATATATATATATCATTTCTGGTTTTCTTGCTTGTTTGTTTGTTGGTTCGTTTGTCTGTTGCTGTTGTGTCAGACTAGGTTCTGAGTGCACATATTGTGAACGCATCCCCCAAACAAGGCAAGCTGCGGAACCCCTTTCACACCAGCACTTTCCGAGTGACAAGCACCGAAACGTTGCGCCCGCTGCAGCTGGTGTCGGCCAAGCTCAACTTCCCCAAAGAAGCGCTCAACCGTTTGAAGAGCGCGAAACGTTTCACTAGCATGGATCTAGTCAAGGTCTTCACAACCTTAAAGCACCATTCCTAGTGGCATTAACTCAGCTGGAAAATTAAGTCAGCTGGTCAACATCTATACTCAACCTTCCTTGGGCGTCCGAGAGCAGGCAGGTCTTTATCGCCGAAACTCGGTTCGATGTACGCAGCGAGCGAAAAGAACTGACGCGCTTCACCGATGTGCGACCAATTCAATCGAAGCCCCCCGGAACCTTTAACGACAAATAGCAGCCAGTACGAAAAGAACATCATGATGACCCGTAGAAACACCAAAGAATGATCTAGAGAACGCGTTGCGACAGGCCCAGCGTCTTTTTTTAATTGTGCTGCTCCCGCCAGAAATCGTAGTCGATGAGTCCGGGAATATTTAAATACTTCCTGGTCAAGATTGCAGAAAAAAACACAACAACAAGAAACAAAATGAGATGTGAACAGGGATTGAACCAAAAGCAAAGTTCGTGCCTGGTTTGCTGACAGCTCTTGTCAATCACGTCGTCCCTGTCCATGACACGACTCTTTCGACATCGCTTCCGGTAGTTCTCTGTGAGATCTTTGTCCAGATCGATCTGCTTCAGGGCTTCTTGGAGCTCCACTGGGAGTGGACAGCGAACCTTACACACGTCGTCCTGGCGTGCTGAGTGGGCGAACGAGTCTGCCATGCCGAGTTTGTATTCTTTTGAAAGACCTTTCGAAGCTGCAGTCTGCTCGAAGGTCGACCGGCTCATCGGTTGAGTCGCTCGAATTGTTCACCCGGTCACCGGTGACCCGGTCGCCTCGCCTCGTGACCGGGCATGGGAAAATGCAGGCGGTAGCAATGCAGGAACACGCGGCGGCAGATCCTGTCGCGAACCAAAAACTACCGCGAACGAAAAAAGAGGTCAAGAGGGTTCGATCGCAGCCATGAAAAATGCACACCCAATGAACACCGTTCTCAATCAAAATGTCCACATGTCCTCCAAGCATCGAAACCATATGAACACGTCGTGTGAGCACGTCGTGTGAACACGTCGTGTGAACACGTCGTGGCATGATTCCGACAAAACCCTACGGCCTCTTGTCCAGCTTCAGGTTTCGCGGCGGCAAATACTTGTAGTCGCCCACAATGCCGTGGGTCTGCGTTTCGTGGTCGGTCGGTTGGATCAGGTCAACCCCTGGGGGTACAGGACCAACGATTAGAGCACCATGCAAAGATCTATACTTAGCATGTGCTGGTAGATTTGTAGAATATCTTTGCACATCGTTTGTGTCAGGGTTTTGTATAGAATCTGCTTAAATCATGAATCCACCAGGTCCAAACGGATGTCTTCTTAAGGTTCGCCTGGCTTTGCTTTGATCTGACTAGAGATGCTGAGGGGCAGTCTCAAAACTCAGGCATATGTCTGCACTTACAAGACTAACTTCATTTCCAGCAAAAAAGAACGTGATCGGTTCAAAGACGTGTCCTTCAACATATTCCGGACCTGGAGCATCCGTCGGCCCTGTCGGCCCAGTTGGCCCGGGCCTTCAAGTTGTTCCGCCGCGCCAACTCCATGAGATGCACCCTGGTTGGCAGGTCCCGGTCTGACCCGGGGAGACCTCCCGGGCCCGTTTGGAGATGGGGTGTTGGAAGAAATGCTACGGAGAAAGGACCTGGAGGTGAGAATTGGTAGATCCAAAGTTTTAAGACAAACTGCTGTATGATGTTGTGACTATCTACATCTATCTACTACATCTACCCGCCAATCATACTTTCCGAAGCAGGACAGGCATGACCGTCTCCTGCCCTGTCCGAAATCTATTTCAGGGCGATAGGAGAAGTGGCAGTTGCTCGCAAACCCTCGAGCAATGTGAAGTTGTTGGGAACAAATGTTGCCAGGCTCAGCAAGAAGCATTTTACCTGGATAGCCCGGTGTTGTGATGGATTCGTCGACATCTTTTCCGTTGGAAGAAGTTGACCTTTGGTCCCTTTCGCCTTTCGACTCTACCAACTACTTTAGTAGTTCCAAGAGGGGTGGCTTTAGTCCCATGCAGTGAGTGGATGTGACAAGGGCACCCCTATTGGTCCAAGTTCGGCAACCCCGGAACTCGATGCTGGAATTTGTTTGGTTTACTTCGGAGTGAGCATCTTCAGCCCCTTCAGCTCACATCGGCTCCACCTGATTTGATGCGTCTTCCCAGTGATGAGATGTAGCCGGACTAACCTCTGGCGCATTGCAGAAGAAAACGGTGCATTTACGGAGAGGCACATCTGGCGGTATCTGCCTGCCAAAATGTTCCTGCTTTTAGACAAACTTCTTTCTCAAATGCTATAGTGCGGTTTAGGGCTGCCTTTAATTTATCCCCGATCTTGGCTAGGGCGGCTAGAGAACGGAGCCGCAGCTTCTTGATCTACTTTCTCAATCTGTTTCTTCTTTTCTTCACTGGTACAGTATGCCACCAACTCCTCCAGCCTCCAGCCTCCAGTCCACGCTATACTACACTAAAGCGGTGGTCGAAACCGAAACAACTGCCCGGAACCGGGCCAGGCCACGTGTAGCGTTGAGTCTTCCCGTGGCCCTCGGAGTACTTGTAGGCGGCCACGGCCTCGTAGCGAGTCAGGGCCTCCTGACCACGAGGATCGACACAGGTTCGCCAGCCAGCATAGCCTGGAGCGCGAACGGAGCCCATGCTCGCGCGTTCGCACGTGGCGAACACTGCACTTTTGGACGTTCTCAATCAGAAGTCTCTAAAGCTATTTGCTACTTTAAAGCACTAAGTATCAGATGACATTGGGATTTTTGCGAGGTCTCACTATCTACTGTACTGTCGTATAAAAATGACTTTATGATAAATTGTTGACGTTCTTTGCTGGGTGATAGAAGCTCTACCCACTACTCACTCTACTTACTTCTACTTACTGGTGGAGCTCCCTGCTCGCTCCGCTAAATCCGCGTTCGCTTCGCTCCCAGTGGAAAGAAACCGCAAGATGCATTGGGATACACGGTTTCATATGGAATCTGGTGGAGTTCGACTGTTCAGGAGGCTACATTTGCTTCCATGAGAATGAAGCAATTGCCATGACACTTATCCCAGTCGCCCCACAGTAAGAGATTTCATATGGTTTCATTCCATGCTTCCAAACTGCTGACACGTCAAGAAAATGAGACCTCACAACCTTCAGGTTTGGCAACGTCGGACCCACACGATCACCATGCGAGCCTCGCTCTCTCATCGTGAGCAAAGGATAGTTCATCTCTCCGCAACACTCACGAAGAGGAAGAGCACCGTGCATCAAAGCAATGTACTCCTCACTAGATAAGGCTAATTCAAGGATTTTTCGAACAAAAACGAATTCGTTCAAAGGACACAAAGAGAGTTGTCAGTGGTTCACAAGGCTTCCATGTTGGGCACGGCAGTCTTTTGTCCGGCATCCCTGCCCGCGTTCGAAACGCGTCTGTAGAACTGGCTGGTCTCCTTGTAGAACTTGTGTGTGTGGAGGCTCATTCGCAGACTGTTGAAGGCTTTCGGGTTCGAGCCACAAATGATGGGCCCGCTGGTTTGCACCTTGGAGCTCTGTTGGGATGAAAAGATGGGAAAACTTGGTGAACACACGATTTGCAGATGTTTACCTACAAGGTAGTGAGTGGCCTTCGCCGCCAAGAAGGCAGCGTTGGCTGCTTTAGGAACCTCAAAACCTTTCCAAGCTGGAGTGCAAGAAAATCAGAGACGCTGACAAAGCAAGGATCGTTCAATGGTTTTACACTCCTTGCCCTTCCAACATCTTCCAACCACGAATGCCTTTGATCGGGTTAAACCACGAGAGGCACATCCAAGCGATGGATTAAACCTGCGCGGTCGTTCTGCCGCAACCATTTGTACCTGGGACCACGAAGGGTAGGCATGGACCACGGATGTGAGCACCCTCGATCAACCCCAACCCCAAGTGTGTGCCACACTATTTGGAGAAAAAATAGAAGAGGTCTTTACATGTCTTTACTTCTCGCTGCACAATCCTAGTCAGCAGTGACATGCACACCTTTCGTCACATGCTTCGTTTCTTTCCCACGGCAACTGAGTTCAGTGCCTAAAACCCATGTGACTTCGAATCCAGTCTTGAAGCGCTGAATGTCTGCCTTGCTGTCGACCGAGGCTCGGCCGGCCGAAGAAGGCGCACGCGCGCACGCACCGGAAGGTCTACACTGAGATGACCTAGAGCGGTCTAAGAAGCGACACTGAGACGTCTCAGTTTGCTTATGAAAGCCCATGAAGGTCTCCAAGTTGCTGATGATGGGCTCGACATCACCCTGGCGGTCGCTGTTGGGAAGTCTTCATTCGGCTGGGAGGTGTTTGGGGTGATGTCGACACCAGCAACTCTGACAAAGCATTGGCTCATCACTTTGTCACACCACACCACCTCAGGAGCAAAGAAAGACAGAAGCCATGACCCTGGAGTCTTGAGTCTTTTTGGACCCGTGGCTCACCTTTGAGCAAACGTCTGGGCCTCTGCATCCCTCTGCCACGTGGCTCACCATGTCTGAACTTTTTCACGATGGGATGAGATGATCAGGGCTTCTTAAGTTGGACTATTGTCATTCCCCTAAATCACCTGGATGCAGAGGCGCCATGTCACAGATGATGTCTGCGGACCAAGATATGATGTCTAGCACAATGGACACAAAACTGGGTGGCTCCCCTATCGGTGTGTCCCATGGTTCACAAAATGTCTTACATACTTGTGATATCTTGTTGCTTGTGTGTCAGAGTGTATATCCAACTTGCAAGCAACAGGGCCAGGAGTTCATACTCGTTATCTCATGTTCTGCTGGTTGCTGGGTAGATTCACCAAGGCCCACCTTAGGGGCTCGGGCTCCGGCTTGGTGGCTTGGTTTGTTTTTGGTGCCAAAATGCCCCAACGGCCGCTGAAGTGATGCGGAGTTCCATCATCCCGAAGCGTGGTGGCGAAGTCTTCCAGCAACGTGCCAGGGTTGCTTTGTCAGAAGTGGTCATGGTCCAGAATGCTGGCTTGTAGACCTAGAAGAGGCTGATCTAAGATGGTCGGTCTAAGACGTTTTGGTTCACAAGCTCAAGCTAGCCCAATGACGAGAATAGATAATAACATAGGAAGAGAACAACTCTAAGAAAACGCTTATGTCCCCTGCCCGTTTCTGGATGAATCGAAATAAGTTCGTTTTCTGACGTCTTGAACAACCCCTCTCGTAGGGCCAAAAGCCCTTTCGTCACTAAGAAGGCCGCCACCAGAACACCATCTTTGTCCAAGGTGACCTGAAATAATCGCACAAATTGAAAAACGGGGGGATGTGTGCTTCATCGGCAGCTTGCTTGCACTACCTGGCCTCCCTGGCCTCTATGAACCAATGAGCCATGAGAGTTCAATGGTGCTCCAGCAAGACATACTAACGCAGCCGTTTTCAGCCGAATTCAGCCATGCCAATGGACGTTTGGAGTGCTTTTGTTTGGCCGTTTTGTTTCACCTGAGGATCCAGCCTTGGGTCGCTCCTCGGGAAATGACATGATGTCCTTGCCCCAGGGCTCCTCTTCCTTCTTCGCTTTGCGGAGAGGCACAAACCTGGAGGCGATTCTTTCAACCAGCCGGACTTGGGAAGTGGAACCGGCCCGCGTGTTCGGGCCACGATGTGTCGAGCGGTGACGCTCGTCACCGCCAGCCAAAACCACGCTTTCAAGTCCCCCTGGTCCAATTTCACGGAAAAGGACACATTAAACACTTGGTTGGGTCTGGTCGTATGGACCTGCATATCTATATACTGTATCAGTGTATCAGGGATCAAATGTGCAGTTCCTGCTGCTCCGTTGGAAGGCTGCACTGCGTCGTTCGTTTGCTTCACATGAACAGCCCGTCAGGCCCACCATCGCCTCAGATGGATCTTCTCCATCTTCTCGCCGTCAAAGTATTTGCTAGAATGCATGCGGTCCCAATGCCTCGATCGCAGGTCAGGGAGTGAACGTTCCGTTTCTCAAATCCGTGTCCTGGACACTGCGTCGAGACAGAGCTGCTTGGAAAGCCCCACCCAGAATGCGCTAGCAAGAAAGCCCGGCTCCCAATCACCGGACCCGGCTGAGACTCCCAGCTTATCACCTTGACACCGTTGGCTATCCCGAGACCTGCCGAGGCTTGGTGGGCGAGTTTGTTCGAGAAGACGAGGAACAGGTGGAACCATCTTCAACCAAAAACATCCAAAAACAAAAAAGAAAAAGAATGATCTTCCTTGAAGTCTGCTGTCTGTGCCCAGAGAAAGAAGCACTTTTTCATACGTGTTTTCCATACTGTCCTGTAGGTTCTTCAGTTTTTTATGGTAACCAAACTTCAATCTCATGACTTGGCATAACTATTCTGGCATGCAAAGAGCTCTGGATGGACACACTTGTCAACTTCTAGGTGGTCTGCAGGTCAAAACTATAGCTCAAATCAGATAACCCCAAATGGTGGAAACCATCTCCAACACATGTTTCAAGGGTTTCATCACCTTTCCTCACTTTTCTGCTTGGTTGGTTTGTCAAACCTCCTGGCTCTTCCCCACGGGTGCGCTTGGTTTCCGGCAACCGCCCAAAACCCGCCGCCTCGATCGATCCATCCGGATCTCCCGAGAGGGGCGACCTGGATCCACTGGAGCGACGTTGAGCGGGAGGCGCGTGACGCCACGCCGGGCAATGCGAACGGAGCAAGAAGCTCCTGTTACTACTTTACTAGCGATGCACTTGTTTCTAATAGTTTCTTGTTACTACTAGTAAGGCTCCTGTTACTACTAGCGATGCACTTGTTTCTAATAGCTTCTTGTTACTACTAGTAAGGCTCCTGTTACTACTAGCGATGCACTTGTTTCTAATAGCTTCTTGTTACTACTAGTAAGGCACCTGTTACTACTAGCGATGCACTTGTTTCTAATAGCTTCTTGTTACTACTAGTAAGGCTCCTGTTACTACTAGCGATGCACTTGTTTCTAATAGCTTCTTGTTACTACTAGTAAGGCTCCTGTTACTACTAGCGATGCACTTGTTTCTAATAGCTTCTTGTTACTACTAGTAAGGCACTTGTTACTACTAGCTTCTATTGTTTCTACTAGTAAGGCACCTGTTACTACTAGCGATGCACCTGTTACTAGAAGCTTATTGTCAAATGAGACACGTCACGATGGCGCCAACAGATCAGAAAACTTCCGTCATCGGTCAAATGTGCGGTGCAAGCTGCTTGGCGTTGGTGCCGGCGATGGAGAGTCCACCACTACTTCAGTGTCCACCTCGCCGGTGAAGGAAGTCATGCTGAATCCAATTTGGTTGTAACAGTGGACAGTCAGGGTCTCTTAGCCCCATCCTAGTGATACTGTAGCTTTTGGGAGTGGCTGATTGGGTGTACAATGCTATATATAATTGATATTATATCATTCAATGTATTTTCTGCCTCAAGATCACCCATTTTGCCTGTCAAAACTTTCTACCCATCCGCCCCGCAACGCCATCCGTCCCGGAACCGACCCCCGTCCGGTCCGTGGCCTCGGCCTCGCGGTTCGGTCCGTCGTCCTCGCTCCAAGCGAAGCCCAACTGCAGATCCTTCAAATTCTCACACCGCAGCAGGGCGTTCGCGTCCTGCGTTCGGGGGCCGGTTTTGCGCCCCTTCCGGACGAAGGGTCCGAAGGGTCCGTCCCGGGTACGTCGGTCCGTCTGTTGCGAGTCTTCGGTTGAAGGGTTCGTTCTGATGAGCTGTGAGCTGGTGTGGTGTGGTGTTCAGTGGTGTTTCGGTGTGAAGGCCAGAAGGTTTGATGTAGGGAGATAGATCGAGCAACGACGTGAGACATCAAAACCATGTGTGTCTTCTTATTATTATTATTACTATTATTGTTATTGTTCTTCTTCTTCTTCTTCTTCTTCTTCTTCTTCTTCTTCGTTTGTTTTTTGCATTTTCTTGTATTGCTTCTTCTTCTGTTTCCTGCTCTCTGCGTGTGTTTTTGTTCTGCTTGCTTATCTTGAAAAAAAAAAAAAAACTAGCGCCAACCTAGCGCCAACCTAGCTCTGCCTTGCTGTATCCCCATAGTCTGCTGGGGGCCCGCTTCTAAACAAAAACTTAAAAGCACATCTCCAACCTTAAAAGTTACGTTTATCTATGTTTTTGAGTAGGGCTTTTTGAGCACAGTCCGTATGCATTTGATAAATGGTAATGAAAGACCAACTCTGATGCCCTTCTTTGGAGAAGGAAAGGCTGTCCTTCTTGGAGACAAAGCCCAGCAAAGGTGGGCAGTCATTGAACCTCACCAACAAGAAGCACCCATGCTTCATCTCATCGTGGATCCCCCAAAGCTGAACCACTATTCAGGTCCAAGCCACCGACAATGTGGACACGTAAAACACACGAACCCGACCAAGTGGCACAAGCGCATGTTCCCACTGCAAGGAGAAGCGGTTGGCATCCACCGCACTGCTTCTGCCAGTCTCCTTGACATGCGCGAATCCAAACACGGGAGAGGAATCCGCTCCTTTCAAAACGAGACTCAACGAAGCTGTCTCACAATGACTAGCTCTCCTCCAAACACATGCACCAAGCTTCACAAATGAAAAAACTCAAAACCAACCTTAAAATGATCATTCTATGTTGGGATCCCAGGTTCATCAGACAATAACACGTACATCATGTCCATTTTTCCGCTGAGCACAATGGACCATGCAACAGAAAGGCGGATTGAGAGTAGATGGCACAATCCCCAAAAGGTGGTACTCCCATCTGAAGTCATCTTGGGGATTGTGCCATCTACTCTGGAACGACCGTTTAAAAAATAAAGAAGAAACACACTGCCCTCTCTCACCCGCAGCTGGCCTTCTGCAACGTCTTGAGGAGCCGCTCGCGCAAGTCTTGCGCGGCACCCGGCTGCGCCAGGCGCTGGGGCAGTTCCTGGCTGGGGAGCCCGGGAGAAGCACGGAGAAACCGAATTTGGGGATGATCCGGCAGTCCCAGCTCGAAGAGTCCCAGTAGTGATGCCCGCAAGGCCTTCCGTTCGTAGCGAACCTTGCTCCTAGTAGTAAGGCCAGGTTCGCCCCGTTCGTAGCATCCGATCGCTCCTAATAGCATGGACAAAATATCAGGGGGATGATGTCCAACATTGATGGAAAAGGATGCAAAAAGGACAGGAATAAGTTTCGAGGGAGATCTATGAACTTCTTTAATGGTATGGCGAAGTTCGAGTACACCATGGTACAGCCCGGCATCTGCAAGGGAATTGGGAAAGCAACATAACAAAACATGTGAGAATCCTCGGGTGCGCACACCTGACTACGTGACATGGGGAGGTGGAAAGAAATACAAATAGTCCTATGTTTGCCATAATAGATTACAAAAGCATCTAATTAATCCTAGATGTGAGCAAAACTAGGATGAACAATAGAATAATTCACCATCACTTTTCTCATGCACCATTAGAACCACCAATTGAAATCGCAAGGTTTATTTGTGGTGGTTCATGAAGACATTAATAAGACGGTTTTAACCCATTGGCGTTGTATGTCCTTTATGCATGTTCATTCCATGGTGTTATCTGTCGTAAATAAACTCAAGAAATAAAAAGCCGATACTGTAAACGTATTCTTAGTGGTGTCTCTTGCTTTGAACCAGGTTTTCCCTGGCAAAAACAAATGCTAAACGTGAACGGTCTATGAAGAGGGAAAACCATGCAAAACCCTAGATGTTCAAGACTTGGTATGTCGTCCCAACAGAGACGAATAGAGTGATGGTGCACCAGTTCTGATCGCCAGCTCCTTCGGTCTCCGAAAAACGCTGGCAGAAAGGCCCAATCCACAGACGAACCAATCTCTGATGCAACCCAAACGTGGAGGAATGCACCAATCAAAAGGATTCAAAAGGATCAAAGTCACGAGTAGAATATATCTAAATATACTGTGTATATATACATATATATATATATACAAGTAGACCTTGGCTGTTCAAAGGAAATGAAGAGGAAATCCACTCGCACCATGTCTGCAAAGTTTAGTTGAATCGAGAAACTCGACACTTTACCTCACTTTACAGGAGTCATCAAACTAAGGTACTTCGAAGGTACCAGATCGAACACAACATGGCTCCAAATGGCACACCCCCTTAAACTCCATGATACCTCCACAACAGAGACATGAAAGCAAGGCGCGGCCAGCCGTTGGGAAGCGTTCCAAAACGCCCCCGCCCAACAGGCCCTGGCCTCTTCCCAGCAGGCGAGCCAGGTGTTGAAGCCTTGTTTCAATGCGCCGAGATCGTCCTGACAACCAAACACAGAGGCTTTGAGTTGGACGCTTCGACCATCGTTTTGCATCCGGTGGAAGATCTGTGACATCTTGGATCGGGCTTGGCGGCTGGCTGGGGTTGGAGAAGAAAATGGAGTGGCATTCTTGTTGCAGCCACCTCTGCACTGGCGGGATAAGTATGATCAAGTTCAAGCGTTGCCTCACCAGCAAACCTACCTACTGGATCCTACTGGCGCAATGGATCTCAACTTCACTTCTCCAAAAAAGGACTTCTGCAAGACCAACTGACCTTCTGCTTGTGCTGCTTCTTCTCGGACTCCTTACTTCCACGTCTCAACACGACTGTCTCAAAGGGGGGGCAGCCTTCCGGACCCCTCCAAGACCCGGGAAGCATCGATCCCACCCCTCATCGTCTTCGCGTCCTCCTCTTCGTAGTCCTCGAGGTCCAATTCGTCCTGCAGTCGGCGAGCAGCGAACCCGTTGGTCTTGGAACAGGTCATCCAGGCGCTCGGCCCTTACACGGAGTGTTTTTCTACTTCAACGCTACTCCACACACAGCGAACGTAGATCAAACGGATGGACCACGTGGCGAGTCGGCCACGTGAAAACGCATCTGGTCCGGGGGGTGTGGTGCAGCCGTCGAAGTCGGCCCAGCCTCAAAGTCATCCTCGCCGTCGAAGTCGTCGAAGTCGAAGTCGGACTCTGCGTCGCTCACGTCCACTGGCTCCATGTCCTGCAGAGCAGCACAACGACTTGGTGGGTTGATGGGTATGTATGTGTGGATGGTTTGGTTGGGCGGCCTGCTTGCTTGGAAAGTGATGAAACGATATGAGACATGGCTTGGAAGGTTTTTCCCATGGTGCATCACACCAAAGAGGGTCCTCCAACAAAATGCCATCCGAGTCCCCTCCTCATCATCATCGTCAGAGATCTCATAGGTGTCCAAATCCAGGTCATTGCCCTCCTGCGCTCGTGGCGTGGTCCGCGCCAGGGAGGGCAAGTCTCGATCCGTTCGCCAGCACCCTTTGGTCGCCTGAGTCGGGGTGTCTGGGCGCGGTGGATCTGCCCCATCCGAAAAACGAATGGAGTGAATCACCCGTTTAAAGGTTGCCATCCGAGCAATGGAGAATTCTATACCGCAACATCAAAGCACTGGCACACATTGACCAGGCCAGATAGTCTAGTCGAAGGAGTGGATGGGTCTTCTTCGGCACTCAACGCCTTGCGAACTTGCGGCTTGGGACTTACCGGGAACCCCTAACCCCAAAAGAATTCCCATCATGTTTTGCTCCTTTCACCACCCGTGGTTTCCTCACCTCGACTCCAAACCCCAAACCCTTCGCGGGCCGTCGGTTTCAACGCGCCGTTGAAACGCGGTTTCCGCGCAACGACGCAGCTCTCCGACTCGCTGCTTTCCAGAGCCTCGACCTGGCGGTCGTGGCGGTGGAACTGGGAGAGACGGAAGTCTGCAGAAGTCTGCAGAAGTCAGTGCATGGTGCCGAATCCTTCGGCTTCCATGCCCAGAGGCAGCCAAACGTGTGCAGCTTCTGTTTGTTCACTTACTGAATTAAAAAAAACACTTCTGTAGACCTCACCCAGACTGTATTCTAACCAGGTCGATCTCGCACCCGAAGTCGCTCCGAGAAATCGACCACCGGGCGACCGCCGCTTCACCGGTGACTGCGACCGGTCGCTCCAAAGCAGACGCACCGGTTCTCATCGGTCGATCCATGGTGCTCGGAGACCGATCAGGTCGATCCAATAAGAAAAGACTGAACGCAAGAGACTGGACGAGTGAAGCTCTTACGCAAGAGTATTGCTACTTTTCCGATGGCAATCAGTAATGGGATATCATTGGATCCCTCTTTGAGGGCTTTGTCAACATCTTGGGCCCTTTGGCTCAAGAGCGGTAGAAACGCGACTAGCCCAATTCCTCATCTTCCTCCTCCTCGTCGTCGTTTTCTTCCTCTGTTGGCTCCTCCGTCTTGCGTCCTCCTGCCATGCAAATCACCAGAGTGCCATAGATCTTGGCCCATTCCTCGAAGGGCATGTAGAAGCTGCCATCGTTTCGGCAGCGGGGGTTCACGCGCTGCCACAGCGTGGGGTTGGCCGCCCACTTTTGTGCGCCATTACAATCATTCCAATCGCCTTTCCATTCGGAGCTGCCCCAAGGGTTGCGAAGCTGAATCAGCTTGACTGGCTCACCATTGTCCAGCTTCTCATCCAAGAGGTTCAGGATAGAGTAACCTTAGACTTGTTTCAGCAAGCTGCTAGAACTGTAAAGTTGCTCACACAGCTCATGGTGATCGTCTCAGTACGTCCATTTGTTGGGTTAGGTCCGGAAAAAATAATATATATATATATATCTAACAAGCATTTAACATGATGGTAGATCAATCCAACATCAAATCTAACAACATGACCTCGCTGCTAGGTATTGAAAGCCGGGACCGCGTCTGTCCCTTTCTTAAAAAAGTCCCTTCAGACAAATCCAGGCCACAATGAAGGGTATAAAGCCCATTGCCTTTGGCCTCCTCAGTATGCTTAGGGTCTCCTGGAATGCTCGCAGAGAGGATGAAGCCCCAATCCAAGTGATTCTTCATGATGGGGAACAACTCCTCCACTGTGTATTCTTTATCCGACTTTCGGGTGCACCACCGGCCACTGCGAGGATTCCTGGCGCCGACCTTCAGTTGTGCCTTGCGGTTCAGGTACCTCGGCCGCCAATTGCCCGTCTTCTCCACCCTCCTCCAGCTGATGGGCCTGGCTTCGCCGGTCAAGGTCTGGAAGGCCCACGCGGAATGTCCTCCAGAGAGCATTCCGTAAGTCCCACACCACTTGGCAAAGGCCTTCTCCAGCAACACGACCCAAAGCTCCTCTCCCAAAGGTGAGGCAAAGCACGGTTTAGGCTCACCATTCACAATCTTGCAGGGGATGAACTCGTCGATGACCACGGGCGCCCATTCATTCTTGGCCAAGTCGTAGAGCCAGATCTTGTACTTTCCATCTTCACTGAGGTGTCGACTATCAAAGAGGTTCTTGAGTTTGGTAGGATACTCAGCCATGCAGGCCAATGCCGCCATAAGCCAACAATCACCTAGACCTCCTTGGTCAATATCTTGAGGCTTCACTTGGTCAAAGAGCACTGCTTCAGTTGGATCTCCCAACATCCTCGCGCGAATCCACTTCTCGGCCTTGTCACACCGAAACTTCGTGGCCGAGCAGCCGATGCTGCTGTCATCATGCGGAAAGTCTGGATCAATGAAGGCGGTGCTGGTGTCATCTTTCTTGCCAGTGAAAGCAGAGCGTGCATTCCATGACCAGGAGTAGTTGCAGGGCAGCTGTTTCACCGTCATCACCAACTTCTCCTCCATCAGCTCTCCAGGGCCTAAGGTGTAGATCGCAGGATTGCCTGCAGGGAAGTTCATGGTGTCTTCACACTTCTTGAAATAAATGTGAAACTTCTTGGTCTTCTTCGTGGTATTCAAAATCTTCACCGTGAACTGCGTCTCCATGCTGAATCCACTGAGTGGAGACTTGTTGAAGTGCACTTGCGGCTTTTCCTCCGTGAGCCATGCAATGAACTCGTGCACTTGGATGATACCATCTTTGTTCTTGTCACGGTCGTGTAGCAGTCTCTTCAGTTGTCCATGATTCATCCCGAAGGCGATGAAGAGTGGCATCACCTCCTCCTCCGTCAAAGTGCCATCCCCATTGCTATCATACTTGGAAAAGAGCTCTTGCAACCGCTGCTTAGCCGTGATCGCTGCCATCTTGGCAAACCACAGGCTTTGAGCGACAGAAAACGAACTGCAGCCACAGCCATCATGCATTGTACCAATGCCAAAACTGGGACCCTCCCATATTGGAACCAATTTTGCAGTCATCACAAGTTGGAGAAAAAAAACAAGCAAACAAGAACACATGGTTTCTCCTTCTGGCGTGACCGTCTCCGTGTTTCTTGACCCTTCCATTCGGAAGGACCGACCGGGTAGCCCGTCCTGGCCTGGTCTGGCTGGTCCACCTGCAGGACATCCTCTTCCACTACTTCTTCGCCCATCGTCTGGCGGAACACCAGTCGGTCCGAGCGGCGACCAATTTGAATTCGAATTAGACTTAATTCTAATTACTAATTCTTGTTTCTACTAGCTTCTTGTTACTAGTAGTAAGGCCCTTGCTCCTAGTAGCGATGCCAGGTCCCTATAGAGAAAAACATATGGGCATGAAGGATTGTGATGATGTGATGATGAAGAGGTGTTCAACAAGGGCATGTGCGAGGTGTTCAACGAGGTTACATTGAAAGGTCCGGTCCTGAGAATTCATACTGAACTTTGGCTCATGGTACTTTGGCTCAACCTGAGCTCTCCTTCGATCCCCAACCCTGACGGCATCTCCTGGACCCCTGGGCCAACGCCGCTGGGACGTCCACGGCCATCTTTCGCCTGTTCGACGTCCACGGCCTCATCCTCAACCTCCGCCACCACAGAGGTGGCCTCTTCTTCGGCCTCTGGGTCGCCTCTGACCTCACAAACCAAACATAAAAAGAAAGCAAATTGTAACTAGTAGGGTCCTTGTTCCTAGTAGTAAGGCCAGGAGCCCCGTTCGTAGCATCCGATCGCTCCGTTCGTAGCGATGCCAGGAGCCCCGTTCGCCCCTAGCGTCCTTGTTCCTTGTGTTTGTATTCGTTCTTTGACTTTGACTTCGACGCTGTCCGAGGTCTGTGACCGCCAGCGGTCGGTGGTTTTTCTTTCTTGGAAAAAGCTCCGTCGCTGATCAATCGAAAATAGGGAAGACCTCCAGATTCTGAGGTGAGGTCTGTTCGGTTGTTTCTGTTTGGTTCCGTGAGAGCGTATGTTTCGTGCAACGCATGAACCTGTGGTGTGGTTTTTGATTTTATTGGACATCCACCCTGGCATGTGTAGAACCGTCAGTTTGTTGCAGAAGAACGGAACATATTCTACACCATTGCAATGGTTCGACCAGAAATCACACAAATGCAGTTTCTTTTCGGCAGCTCCCGAGTACTCTACAGCACCATCACTTACAGTATATATTCATGGCCACCTTGACGTCTTCTTCTTCCTTATCATCGACTTTTCTAACCTGCTCTTCTCTTTCTTCCTCGACCTTTTCATCCTCTTCCTTTTCCTCCTCTTCCTCCTCTTCCTCAGCCTCTTCCTTGTCCTCTTCTTTGTCATCCTCTTCCTTCTCAACGTCTTCCTTGTCACACACACCCTGCTCTTCCAACTTCTTGCTCTCCTGAACGTCAAGTACCAAGCACCAAGCCAGTCAAGACCACCCCATCCCCACTCCCGCTGCTCGTTTGGTGCGGCAAACCTCCCGTCCGGCGTCGACCCGTCCTCCTCCGAGCTGAGAGCTTCGAAGATCTCCTCGACAAGAAGCCAGTGGCCGTTGGGAAGTTCCTTGGGCTCTACAACACCTGAAGACCACCATGCAAGAGGTTCTGAGTCTTCAAGAGAGTCTTCTGAGGTTCTTTGTTCTGAATTGAGTAGCGGACATATTGTAACAGTTGTAATGTTGTAATAAGCTCATCTGCACTCCTGGTAGCCTTCAAGCTCCTCTTTGCTCACATCATTCTGGAGAAGCTCTTCATCCTCCTGCAGTGCTTTCTCAAAACGGGTTGTTTTCAGCCCTCAGATGGGATGCGACGGACCGCTGGTCGGTCGAAGGAAAAACGTCGTCCTCGCTGGAGAGCGACTCATCCACACCAGGAGTCTCCTTGGTCAGACACAAATGCAACGCATGTCCTATGAGTATATACGGTATATCGGTCTACCCTCGTATAGCCCCGTTGTTCTGCAGCAAAAAAAAAACTGCGAAAGCTGGAACACTCTCGTTTGTTCTTTTGTTTGGCCTTTCCCTTCAAAAAGTCTCATCTACTGAGATGCTGAGCTTCGTACTGGTTCCCCTACACTCTTCTCCTCCAGAGGAGCCTCAGCCTGTGGCAATTTGAATGCCAATGCAATCTAATGGCACTGGCCAGAACCTGGAAGATCACAGGCCATTTTACGTCTCTCACTCTCCTCTCTGGCGAATTCCTTCAATAATTATACACTTCGGGACCATCCCACATCTCCCCTCCCACAACCGCCTCCCGAGTCACTCCTCCCACAACCTGGTGGCCGCGTCACTGCCTGGCCTCTGGACCACCAGATGTGGCCTTCTTGTAGCGATTCACACAGATCACTGCCTGAGCTGGTTTTTACCCATGTGAAGCGAAAAAAAACAGCCTCATGTGGTGCTGGGTGAAAGGTGATGCTGGGTGAGTGACCAACACTGGGAAGGTCGTTGCTTATGTTGTACGCAGAGATGAGATCTGGAGCTGGTTTCAGTCAAAAGGCAAGTACCAAAGTGCCTGTTGCCTCCTTGGCTCTATAGTCTTCTTGTTTGTGGGCCCTCCTACTTAGCCTTTGCTTGAAACCACGGAACTCCTTCCCCTTACTGATTAACACCCTCACCAGAACCTGTTGTATCGGAGGATAGTGAGGATTGTACTACCAACGACGACCTGCTTTCTTGTGGTGCCAAGAAATGGGCTCGGTTTCAATACCCTCTGTCTTGTCACCATGCCTGACATTGCTCCGCGACTTCGAGTCGCAGGCTAAGATCTACAAGCATCGAACAATGGCCAAAAGACTGATGAAGGAGAGGACCATCTCTTCATGGAGGAGTCTAAAGACCAAATAACAAGGCATATTGCAAAACAGGCTCCTCCCAGTTCCCTCGCCTCCACATCCTCCATGGCCGGCGAGGTCTTCAAACCTTCGGACCGGCCGTGAGGGAGTTCTTCAGCCCCTCAGGTGGCCCACACGAGTGTGTCTGTGTTCCTTAAAAGGGGTTCAACCTGTGTAGGAATCCTGGAGGACGAACCTTCTCAGCAGGTGGAATTGAAGGTCATAGTATTTTTCACCCAAACTTGGGATGATGAACTTCCACTTTCTTTTCGCACCACAGCTTGCACGACACCGAGGGGTGACCACCAGCTTGTGTCTGCATGTTCCTCCATCTTCCCGACAAGACCCACCCACCTTTTTGCGATCTGTACGGAAGTCAACCGGCAGGTAGCATCGCTTCAAACATCATGCGCTGTGTCTTTGGAATGAAGAGAAAAAGACGTGCGAGTAGCTGAGTCGCTGATGGTGCTGCTATGTAGTGGGGAAAAACGAACTGCGGATGTCTTCTGGTGCCTGTTGAGTCAAAAAAACGCTGATGCAAGTGTTGCTGTTGATAGAACTTCTGCACCAAATGGTAGGGATCCCAAACGCTAGGGTCCCCAACTGGTCTGGGGAAGGAACCCCCATGTTTGAGTTTTGAGGGTGAGTGTTGAGGGCTGAGTCATGCTGAGTATCTAGGTCACAGTGAGAGCTGACTTCGTCTGAGAACTCGTTGATCTCGTTGCGCCCGCTCGGTGGCTCCGTGGCGTTGTTGGCCCGTCAAGGCTGGCATGAGCCAGGTCGGCGGTGAGAGACTTGGGGCAAGAACCATGCGATTGAGAGATGGTCCAAATCAAATGCTGCCCAGAAGGACTCGTACATGTTGTGATTGCATCTTTTAGTCATGAACCACACAGAGCAACATGGCATGCTCCTTGTGTTTTGAGTGTCAAACTGTCTTGCTGTAGAAATAAAGGGAGAGAGAGAGAGAGCCGGAACATGGTGTTCCAAGATAGACGCCCGTTGATTGCAACATGGCAGTGCGATCGCTACTTCAATCGTTGACGTCTCTCGTTTGCGCAGGCGGCAAAACATCCCGGTGAGCATCCTTTCTTGCCACTCTCCCCAGTGAGCTACCAACCCCGCACAGGGTGTCGATGGTGATTCGCCCGAGCAAGTCACAACCCCTGTGTGCAGTTCACATCGCTTGGCATTGTCTCACAATGCGTGGTCGGCAGACCTCTCGGGGCCTTAGCCAGTTCACAATGACAGCGGTCCAATATGCAAAGCATCATGCCGACCCAATTCTGTTATGTTATATAATATAGTATATTTATATATACATATAATTATATATGTGATATGTAGTCGTAGGACGACTTCCATGAACTCGCAGACCGCAAGCCCAAGACAAAAAAAGAAAACACCCTCATATAATCCTCCAAGGCCTCCGGTCGACCCGTAAAGCCACGACCGGTGCCCAACCTCAAACTTGCAAATGCTGCAGCTTCCTGAGCATCCTGCGGAGCGAAGACATCGGGATCTGCACAAATCCCCAGATGGCAATGGTGCTGGGCAATGATATCATGCGGTGGTGTCCAAGACCCTCGTGAAGGAGCCAAACAATCTACATGTATTGTAATTGTAATACATGTCTTCTCTATGTACAGTAATCTTTTTGTGCACCCGTTGAGTGTGTGCTGTTTATGCAACGACCTCTGACTCCGTCGGACAAAAACAAAACCGTCCGGGCCTTTCCACTGGAGGCATGTTTTCATCTCCGCCAACGGCCTTGAGTTGACGGACGAGTTCCTCTGCAATCTCTTTGCACCGAATGTCCTCATCAGAGCCCATCAGGGCACATCCGAATCTTCCGATGGATCTCGGCGGCCATCAAACCACCACGGTCATAACAAGGCCGGATTTCTCGGCACAAACTATGCTTACGGTATTCTTCAACGGTCTTCCAGGGCTTTTTCACCTTGATAGCTACGCGTTCATGCGGAGGCTCCTTGACGAAGCCGGACTTGATCCACGGCACATAGGCATCCAGCAGCTCCAAGCGCGAACGGTCAGGGGTCACGCAGCTCAAGATGGCTTCTCTTAGCACAACCTAGGTGGGCAAAGAAACAACTACCATGGACCAAGTCGGTGTCACCTGCCTGACAAAAGCAGTAAGAATTTCAAGAGCCTCTTTCTGGCAACCGTTCTCTGCGAACTGAGGATATGCTGGAGGCCCACAGTTTGTAGAGGACGTAATTCGATGAACGGCAAAAGAACCCATTTTGAACCGACCAGTACATTCGGTCTACACCGTGCCCTTTTTCAGCTTCTACCCAGGCATACCACCTAGAGCGGCCCCGTTCGCAATCCGGTTCCCCCACATAGAGCGGCCGCTCCAGCCATTCGCTGGCTTTGAAGCCCCAAAGCCTGAGAGCATCAGTCGATGGTCGATGGACCTCACGGTCTTGGGCCCTCGTTCTTGCGCGGAAAACTCCAGTCAACAGTCAACAAAAACCATTTCGGTCATTGAGATGTTAGAGGTTCACAAAAAAGGGAAAATATATAGTGCTCTTCGCTCGTGATGGAATAGATCATTAAATTAAAGCAGTTCGACCCTGTGCTGTCGTTGCTGATGGCCAGCACGTATAGTTTAAAGCAAATCCAATATCTTGGCATGATCTTTCTGCTTAGCCATCGGCTTCGTAAAGCTCAAGGACAGCGACAAGGCTGCTTCGTGCCCCGAGCACCTGCTTTTTTCGCAGCACAGGGCTTTTCTTGAAGCGCTATAGTCGGAGATGGGTCTAGACCTGCGCAGTCCTGGTCTGGCAGCTATGACTCACTTACTTGAGATATCTGTGGATTTTGGACCACTAAGCACCAAAGCGACCTGCTCGTGCCATCTCGTGCGCCTGAAGAGCCCCTCGATGGCCTCTTGCTGCATGGCATAGAAATGCTCACCATAGTCCTATATAACCATGTGCCACCAGGGGGGGGTGTCCTAACCATCGTTTCGCAGCACATCCGGTTCTGAACATCCACGGACGGACTGGGACATCTTCGTCAAGAGCTACAAAGTCAAAGGGTCGATGTTTTCCGAACCGGAGGACAATCAGACAGGTCCTCTGACATCTTGGAGTGTTCACGAAGACGTCGTAGGAGTCCCATAGCCACCTGGCCGCTCTGGGTAGCAAAGGAAGGAGCTAGACAGCTTGGCTATGGTCGTCGGAGTCATTGTGAGGAAGTACAGTGATCAACCCACGTCTGCTGCAAGCCGTCTACGTAGTGGGTTGCATTAGCATCCTCGGATCTCCCTGCAGAGAAGACATCCAGAAATGATGACGTTTACTCTTGCGACACCAATCCACAGGGCTGCCAACACAAGTACAAGCTGTTCTGCACGGTGATTACAGAACGATGGGAGCAGCCTTTGGTCTTCACAGCGTTTCACGCTTCGAAAAAGGACCAATACATGGAGTGGCGCCCCCAAAGCCTTACCTGCAGGTTCGCACACCTTTTGAATTCTCGCTGGGGTGTGAAACAAGAGCTCTCACCGAGTGAAACACTCTGCTGCGAAGGAAACTGCGCCGTGCAATCCATCCGTGGAAGGAACTTCACATGTCCACGCCTTAGGCGGCCGATGCCAAGGGCCAATCGCTTCAGGTGGTCAACCACCATGTGACCACTCTCCCCTAAGATCTCCACCGAGACTTAGATCTGCCACGTCGGTGGTGGAACTCTGTTTGGACTTCTCCATCTCCTGATTTTGCTGGAGTGCCACACTCTCGAATGGAGTGGACACTCTCAAAGAATGTGATGAGAATGCTGCGACATGCTGGTTTCGTGGAACCAGTTTGAGGCTGCGACATGTTTCGTTGCAATCACTTCTTCCAAGCCAGGTGGACTGTGCCGCTACGCCCGAAGACCAGGTCTTCCAAGGCTTCCAGACCGACTGGTGCCCCAAAAAAGGAAGCTGCCGGACCCACCGGTTGGTCTCCTCGGATTTGAAGCTCAGGTTGGTGATCCAGGCCGGAGGAATGCCACACTCCTGGACGGAAGGAGGAAGGAGTCGAGGTCGTCCCTCCGGCCGGTCCGTCGGATTCTGGATGAGGCGGGAGGCGAAGCGTGGTCTGAGCTTCAAAGACCCCTAACTCATTGCATGTCCAAAAAAGTAGGGAGAGTCAAGCAAATGGAAGCGAAGAGAGGGAAGTGAAATCTCCACAAACATTTGTGGAACCTCATGTTTGAGAAGCGTCTGAAAAACCCCTCGTTCTCCAAAGACCAACCACTCACCCGCTGCTCTAGCAGCGGCCTCAGCGATGATCATTGCACAACGCTCCAGCCTCAGGTTTTAACCCATGGCATGCCATGGCAGTCGTCAGGGCTTGGTGGTATAGTGTGAAAACCTAGAACCACTACAGTATCGGACTTGTCATTTGCAATCAGGATCCGAATTCACTCACATCCAAAAAAACGGGCTCCCGCACAGGAGAATCTCCGAGCGGGCTTGCGTATCCTCGCGCATTGGCCGAATCAAGGCCGAATCAGGTGGGGGAGCCCTTCTCGTCTCGCTGCCTTCACCTTTCCTTTGCTTTTTGTTGATTCCCTTTCAGTGGTCTCTTTGTGAAAACCACCCACCCATGGCCTCCAACCTCTAAGACGCGTGTTTGGAGAGACCTCTCCTAAGAGCAAAAATTGGTCGCGGTGCGACCTCCCCTCCGCCGTCCTCGAGTGTGACGCTGTGCAGTTTCATGGAGATGTTGATGTCGGAGCTGCGGTGTTTCGCGAGCGGCGTTGTGTCGGTGTCTCGAAGAAAGAGGAGAAACGGGTTGTCGGTTGTCGGAAGAAGTCCAGTGCCTTCTACATTCTGAAGTCCAGTGTAATTACCCATATATAAAACCTTAACAATCAAAATACAAGCAATGATGCGCGCGCGACTGTCCGCAAGAACCATAGTTGCTAGACCTACCAGATCTCATATGTCTTTGTTTTCTGACCAAAAACGTGCCCCAAAACCCAAAAACAAACGAAAAAACGACCCCTGGAAAAACAACGGCCAACCCCCCCTTAAAAGAACAAATACCCGGCCGCCCTTGAAGCACACTGACCAAAAAGGAGGGTTCTTCGGCCCCCCGGTGCTTCTCCGCCTCCCGCTGCGCGCCTCGCCGTGTTGGGCGTCGCCGGTTTGCGCCGCAGCTCCGCCTCCGCCGCGGCGCGTTGCTCGGCGTCCTGCTGGTCCTCGTGCGGAGTGACCGGTGGAAGTCGAAGAGGGGAAACGGATGGAAAAGGGAGTGACACCCTTTTTAAACCCATCGAAAGCCATGCAACCGCAGGTTCCCGCTAGCCCAACCGCTGGTTCTTCAGTGAGAAGACCAAGCTGGTTCTATCCAAGTGACCGAGGTCACGAAAAGGGCCTGTAAAGGGTCACTGTAAAGGATCCTGTAGGGACTCCAAAAGGTCACGAACTGAAGAAGCTGGTGCCCTTGTGATGTTCAATCCTGGAAGGTTTTCTCATTTCAGACCCTAAACAGTTGAGAGGATCAAAAAAGAACAAATCACCTGGGGCAGCCCCAAATCACCTGTTCCAAGGCAGAACGGCTCAGTTTGGGGCTCAGTTTGTTCCAATGAACTGTGCTTTTGAGTTTCATGGGTCGTTCATGCCGCCCCTGCCACCTCGGTCTTCGAACGAAAGCCAGAGTGTCGAAAATAGGGAGAACAAAAACACGTGCAGTTTTGGCATCTCACATCCACTTGGTGCGGTTGTTAGATCTAGGCACACCGAGGGATCCTCTTCGGTTGATGTTTTTTTTTGGCGTCCTCCTCGCCCGGTGGCCAACAGGGCCATGAACTCACTCGGCTAAGGCTGGAGCCAATGGCTGATCCAGGATCCGGAAGTCCGGTGGCCGATGCCAGCCATCATCCAAACTCGGAAGTCCGGTGGCCGACGCAAAGCATGGCAACACGGAAGTCCGGGGCTGCGGAAGAGTAGCATGGAAATGGGCGAAAGAAAGCGGGGGGAGTTGTATGATTTGGAAGAGCCCCAAAGCCTTAAAGCATGGCAAAACCATGCAAAACCATTGGCTGGGGGACTACAGTGACTACAGGGGACAATGTGCCCTCTCTACATGTTTCTTCCATCAAACGACATCTGCAGTCTGCAGAATGTGGTGAGTTTGTCGAAGAGAAAGCTGAGAAAGCTGATGAAGCGACCAGGTCTATGGGAAGCACCAGTCTTTACAGCGGTTTTGCATGGAGACCCGAGAAAAAATGAGACCATATCATGTCCTGAGGCTTACCTCAGGACACAAATCCTGGCGCTTGAGATAGTCAAGACATTTGCCGGTGTTCTTGTTCCATCATGTCAGGTGCTTCAGAAGATATTCCTAGAATCTATCATTTCGGTGGTTGCACGCCATCGCTGTTAGGATCCTCTCCCTCTGTCTCTCTCCACCGGTCTCCCAAGATCCGGGCTCCGGCTCCATCAGAATCAAATCGGGCCGTGTCAAAGCGATCAAAGGCTTCACCTGGATGGTCACGGGTGACTACCGTGCGGCGTCTGTAAGTGCTCACAGCAATCTGTCCAGATCGACAAAGATCTGTATCAAGATGAGTCCGTTTTCAAGTGTCATGTTCACTTGAGACGACTTGAGCAGGTTTTAGATTGGCTTCCTTATCTTCCGTCTGCTTTTTTGGGCGTTCATCTCCTTGACCTCATCAATCAGACCAACATCATTCTCGCCTCTTCTAGGAGTTCCTCGAACTCCGCGCCCAGCTCAATCGCCAGCGACATCCCCGCGGTGCCCTCGTTCTGGAGCACTTCGAGGAGCTGATACAGCCGCGCGGTCGCTTGGAGCTTGGGCTCTTCCTCCAAAAATAGGAGCAAAGCCAGCAGAAGCTGGGGCGTCCAAACGCTGTGGACATTCCGAAGTGGACTGTGGTTTCTGGAAGCGTCTTTCATTTCTGTGTGTGTGTGTGTCTCTAGCTGTGTGTCTCTGTGTGTGTGGGGGGGGTAGGATGGCACATGAGCTATTTCACTGCGTGATTAGGATCGTTTCCCACGCCGGAACTCGGGCCTGATCAGCGGTGTCCGGACCTCATTGGAACTACCCAGCTTGGCAAAAGGTCAAATGGACTCTAAAGTGACTGAGACCAATGAGCTGTCATAAATGCATTGGCAATGGACATTGAACACTTCCACGAAAGTTTGGCTGATTGCCTTTGAAGGTCATCGAATGGCCGTTGCATGCTATTACGTCCTTGTTCACTGGTGTTGTCTGGAACACAAATAGAGCGCCCTCGTTTTTGGCAGACGAGCCACACAAAACGCATTGAGAAGGGCATGTATGTTGGTTATCATGTTTGACACATGTTTCACCAATAGACCTTATGGCCTTATGGTATTTGTCAGTGAAAAGACCAACCCAGAAATCCGGAAAAATCGGCCATTGCGTTTCATCCATGTTCATCCCATCACTCCCATTCATTCATCTACTCCCTTGCAGATTAACATGGAACCCCAAAACCACCAGGTTGTTAAGGAAGCCTGGTCGAAACCACGGTGTCTCAGGTTCGATCGTTTGCTGGGGGGGTCCTCTCTTCTCTTCTCACCGAGCTCGAGGCGCTGGCGCGAGCACGGCGCGAGGGCTCGGCACGGCTGGGGCTCCCCGGCAGCTCCGCAGCTCCTGGGCCACCGAGTGCACCTCCGTGAAGCATCGCTCCGCAAAGGTCTGGGCGCGCGGCGTCACTGGCAGGTCACTTCGACCAGGTCACCACGCACAAGCGACCGGAGCTGGAGATGTTCGGGGAAGCTACCGGGGTGCTTGATGTGCTTGGTGCGGTTTGGTGTGGTTTGGATGTGTTCAATTAGAGGATGGAAAGGCCGTGGAAAGGCCATGAATCTTGTAAATCTATCTTCCAAAGTGGGTGGATGGCTGTTTCATCCAACATCACCCCTTGTGTGCTTGTGTGAATGGCAGGCTTCAAAATACTTCCTGCTCCAAATCGTTGCCGCTTGCGTGGGTCGGCCAATCTAGGTGATGCGCCTTCTCCCGAAAGAACATGGGAAGAAACTGCGACGGTGACGGTGACGGTTCTTGACGGCGACGGTGTCAAACGTTCTTTGCATTTGATGCCCAGGGCCGGTGTCGAACGTCAATGTTTGCCCTAAAAACAAC